AGGAGGAGGGGGAGGAGCCCAGCGTACCCAGGGTCCGCTCCACCCGCCTACGCGGCGGGGCCGAACGCACCTGCGGCGGGCCGCGGGGGCACGGGCCTCGACGTGCGGGTCGAGGACGGGGTCGTCATAGACGACGTTCGGAAAGCCGTGTTTAATAGCTGAGGCACGGGGCTGGAAGCAGCAAGGGAACGCGGCGACGGGCGCACGCGGGGAGAGGAACTCTGAGCGTCGGGAGAAAGAAAAAAGCAGGCACCATGGAATGGATTTTTCCAGTCGAGGACTCAGGGCGGGAGGGAGTCCACGACGCGGAACGAGGAGAGGAAGGAGATAGCCTCTGAGAACTCGGAGTCGCCGAGGACACGCGACCCGTGGCAACACGAGAGGAGGAAGCCGCCATTCGAAAAGCACCCGTGGTAATCGGCGTCGGCGGGGTAGCCATCAGGGTTCGCGGAGACCGAGAAGAGGGCCCAGGCAAGGTCGGCGAGGAACAGGGCGGGCACGAAGAGGGCAAGGCAATAGGAGTCGTCGACAGAAGGTATCCACGAAGAGAGCGTCCCACCGCAATCGACACCACGGAACTGGGGGCCAGAGGCTCGCAATTCACTCGAGCCTGGGACAATGGGCTCGAGGAGCACCCACGCCCAGGACTTTGCGATCTGACGCCACCCAAAAAGGTGAGGCAGCTCCCCGCAATTTACTCGTGGAGCCTGGAAGGGCGGGCTCGAGGAGCACCCGCCACCAGGACTTTGCGATCTGACGCCACGAGCACCAGAGACGACTCGAGACCGATCCATCGCCTCGCAATTTACTCCAGATGCCTGAGCAGATGGGCTCGAGGAGCACCCACTGACAGGACTTGGCGTTCTGACATCAAGCACCAACGCTGCACCCGAGACATAAAAGGGCAACGCACTGAGAGCGCAGGGCGCTGGCCAGTCACCATCAGCAAGGTCCTCAAGTCGGCCGACGCGCTCGGGCGTCGCAATGAGCGTAGCCGGCGTAGACGGGGCCGCGGGGCGGAAGTCCAGCATGACCAAGTCGTCCGAGTCGTCCTCTCCCGCCTGAGACCGCGCCCGAGGCGAAGGGGTCGAAGGCGAGACAACAGGCGTCAGGCGAGGACTGTCAGGATGGCCAGAGCACTGCAGAGCGTGTCTCGGCAAACGGGGAGACGACGAAGCGCTGGGAGCCGATGTCACTGAAATCGCTGCCAACGTGGGTACGGGCGCACTGCGGGATGAAGAGGATGAGGAAGCCGACGACGTCCACGAGCTTGAGGAAGAGCTCGCTGGTCGAGGCACACGGGGAAGCCAGTGGGGTGCGAGCGAGGCCCGCTCCTCCTCCGACGCGCGAGACGGGTGCGCCAGACGCATCGCCCTCACACCCGCCAAGGCGCAGGCGTGAGCCTGCTGGGCGGAGAGCGGCCACTCACGAATGGTGCGAGCTTCATTGTACATGTTGTAAGCGGCTGTGAGCACGGAGAATGAGGAAAACGATGGTGATGCCAGGCCCCACCGAGAAATCCAATCGAGCGGGATGGGACGAGCCAGAGCACGCCTGAGAGCACGGTGCATAGGTGGGCAGCGCGCGTAGTGTCGGAGAGAGTCGATTCGTTGCACACAACCGAACGCGCACTGTCTCTGGCCCAGCGGGGAAATGATCCGCGCCGACGTCATCCAGCCGTCACACCATGTGCGCAGCACGGCCCACGCCCATGAGTACGGGCAGCGCGCTAGCATCACAGCGCAGTTGTCCCAGTCGATGGAGTCGAGACGGTCCCTCGCACGCCCAGCAAACTTCATCAACCGTCGGCGGATGAGTACCTGTAGCGGCTGAGCCGTGCACGCTAGCTGGCGTAGAGCGAGATGAGCAGCACGCCGAGGGCGGGAACGCTGGCCAGGGGCGGGGGAAAGAGCGGCACGAGCAGCAGGAAGCGCGGCAGCCAGCAGGGCGGAAAGCTCCGAGCCCGCAGGAGCACGGCCGAGAGCAGCGGCCTCCAAATTCTCGGCCAGCGCCGTGGACTTCCAGAAGCCAGGATACAAGCGTCCGTGCGGCAGCATGTCGAGCGTCACGTCGGTGTCCCTCGAGGCGATGTGCTCGCGCATGCGGGACAAAATGGATTCCCAGCACGGGTGCGTGAGCAGGGCAGCACGCGTGATGGACGCCACTGCCAGGTGCGCCCATCGGATGATCCTGGGGGCCCCCCACCTTTCCAGCTGCACCCGCACGTCGAGGCCGAAGGTGCCGAGAGGAAGACGAAATACTTGTGCCAGAACCGCAAGTTCAGGTTGAAGGATCGCGCGTGGGATCCCGGAAAACTGTGCGACGTAAGAAAGAGTAGTGACAGCACGTGAATTGTACAGCTGGGCGGACTGACTGGCTGGGGTGGTGCCACGGCCAATAGCTTGAGCCCGCAAACGCAGCTTGGTGAGCGGGTCGGTCCACGAACGGTCGGAAGCGGCCCCAGGACCCAGCCAGATGCCCAAGTAGAGCAGACAATCGACCACTTCGAAGGAGGACCACTCGGGGACCCAGTAGGAGATCTCCTGGAGGACGCGGGTGGCAAGCTCAGGAGAGTAGGGCGCGCTGAGAGGGACCACCTTGCACTTGCTGACCTTCAGCACGAGGTTGGCCATGTCAGAGGCCTTGGACATCACCCCGAAGACTCGAACGAGGTCGGCGACCGAGGAGAGCGTGCCACCGATGTCGTCCGCGCAGGCCCGCACGAGGCCAATCGAGGGGAGCTCAACCAGATGGACCAGCTCAGAAAGGAAAGCCGCCGTACTGAACGCAAATAGAGAGCCAGAGAGGGCGCAGCCCTGAATAATGCCGCTATCAATCCAATAGACATACTCGAGAGCCCCCTGCACCACAGCCACCCCGTCGATAGCAGCGTACAGGAATGCAACGAAGTCGAGGAAACGATCAGGGAGCCCGAGGGCCCGAAGTGCGAGGGTCATGAAACCTTGGTTCAGGGACGGGAAGGCCTGGCCGAAGTCCAGGAAGTACAGGAGCGGGACATCCAGGGACCCATGGGGGGTGACCGATAGCACCCTAGCCGAGGCGTCGAGCTCGATGATGTTCTCACCGAAGTTGCGGCGCGGGACGAACCCGCGCTGGCAAGAGGGGATAAGGTCCAGGGCGGGGCGCACGGCACGATTCATCGTCGCCGAGATGGGTTTGATATCACAGCTCCTGAGGCCGAGGACGCGAACTTTATCTGGGGCCCGCTCGCAGTCCCCTGAGTGCAACTCACCGTCAGTGACATTGTTCGGCAGGAAGATCTGAATGGTGTCCGGGGCAGAGGCGAACAGGAACTGGCCATCTCCGTGCCACTCGAGAGCACCCCAGAGAACCTCTTCAGCAAAGGGGTGAGCTTGCCACGCCGCATATGGGAGAGCGTCGGGGCCAGGGGCAGAGTGTTGGGCGCCACGCATAGCAGCACGAAGCATGGCACGGGAAGGCGGGGGGAGATGAATATCATCAGCACGAGGCAGGAAACGATGGAGGTAGGGGCGAGCAGCATCTTCGTCCCAAGGCTTCTTCCTGAATATGGGACCCCAATAGTCGGTAAGGGCCATCGACCGCTGGGACGGGTCGGAAACAGCCTCGCCACTCGCAAGACGGACACAAGAGAGGGGAACCCGACGATTCAGCGGCGACCACAATCTCGCTCTGCGCTCCAGGGCTCTGGTCTGAAGTCGAATCTGAGCACGGTCTCCCTGACGACGACGGCGAGCTTCCAATTCCTCTTTGGCGGCAGACGCAGCAGCGGACTGGACCTCATCGACCCAGGCCTGGAACGAGGGGGGGTGGATAAGCTCAACCTTGCCAGCCCGCACACTGATCATGTCACCAGCAAGGGGATGTGATTCCTGAAGCCGGCGCGCAAGCGGAGCGTCTTGCCGCCAGACAACTCGTGCAAGTGCTCGTGCAAGCTGGAGAAGGGTGCGGGGATGATGAGGCCGTGCGCGGAAGAGACGATCCCGAACTTCAGCAGAGGCGATTTTCAACAGCTTTTTGTAGTGCTCGAGCTTGACGGGCGGGGACATCTGGGACCAGTCGGAGGCTGTGATGAGGCCCTCGAGGCGCTGCTTGAACGCTGGCTCGTGAAAGATGTGCTTGGGAATGGCCCGCTCGCCCTGAACGCTGGGAGCCCTGGAAGTGAACGAGATCAGCACGGCGGCGTGATCCGAAACGCATCTGTCCGACACTAACGCAGCCGAGTCGACAGTCGACGCCTGGACCACCAGTTGACGCACCTGCCATCCCGAGAGCGAGCAAAATAATCGATCGATAGATGATTCAGCATTCCCAGCACGCTCGTAGTGCGAGGGGGCATCACTTTCAATCTCAAGCAGCGGGGCAAGGGCAGCCCGCCACTGCGGAGCGCGGGCGCGGTGCTGCCGAGCGCTCCGCCGCACTGCCGCTGCAAGCATATGCAGCAGGACGGACTCGTGCGAGGAAAAATTGAAGTCGCCATTGACCACGGCCATGTGCGAGTCTGGTGCCCGCTCAGCCGCAGCACGAGCAGCACGGATATCCCGCGCGACCCGATCAACTTCTGCCAGCGAAAGACCATGATTGTGCACGTTGTACATCTGCAAGCAGACTTCTCCCAATGAGATATCAACCCGCAGAACCCGCCCAGGGACGAGAGGGACAGGAGGATGGACGACCGCACCAGGATGCAGAGGAGGAAGTCCGACTGCGACGCCCCCACGGATGCTGCCACCAGCATCAGCGTCACAAAAGCTAGAACGCACAGTAAGATCACGAGCCCCATGGTGCCCAAGAACGATACGAGTTGAAGGTGATCCTGGTGGACCTCCTGGAGGGAGAGGATCGTCTCCGAGAGACGGGGCTTGAGAAGATACTGACGCTTCAAACCTGCTTTCTCCCCTCCAGCTTGCAGAGGCGCCCTGGCATTCCAGGAAGCAAAACGAAGCGGTCTCGCCGAGGATGACAATGATGGCGAGGAGGGGCGAAAGAGGTAGCACGCGCTAAAGAGACCACTGGCTGGTCTCCACTGGGTTGGTGATCTCCTTGGTCGCATCGCGGACGCGGGTGACCTCCATGTGGTTGAGCTCGAGCTTCGGGATGTCCCAGTAGAGCACAGGGGGCGAGTCCCCCGAGGCGACCTCGATCTGCATGATCTTGTCCCAGCCCACCAGGAGGACGCCACGCTCACGGTCGGAGTAGAGCCGCTTACCAGGGCAAGCCACTTCCACCAGCTTGCGCGCCCTGCGGAGGACGATCTCCTGCTTGATCTGCTTGGGGCTCTTGTCGGGGCCGAAGTGGATACGGCAGCGCACATCTCCAGGCGGGGTGATCCAGAACTCGTTCCATTCTTTGCCTTCGCGGAAGTTGGCAAGGACACGGTCGACCTTGCGGGAGGCGACCCCGATGGGGCCACTGAACTTGATCTCGAAGCGCTTGCACGGGACCGTGCCTTTGGCCGCGATCTGGAACTCATCATTAGCATTCTCAAATCCGATAGAGGACAACCAGGGCACAAACACCTCACGCATACTCTCCACCGACGTGGGCCGCTGGGAGATGGCCACAACCAAGGACGTGTCGATGTCACGATTGAAACCAGCAGGAACTTGCGGCTGGGGACGAAGGCGAGACTCTGCGAGGGCCAGCTCCTTCCTGAGCTCGGCCATCTCGCGGCGAATGTCCGCGAGGTCCTGATCGTGCTTGGCGAGGCTGGCGGTGTGGGCGTCGAGGACGCCCTTCTGCTGGCCGAGCTGGGCCTGCAGCCTCCGTGAGAGAGAGTCTAGCTGCGGAGTAGCAATCTTGCGAACATCAGCTTCGAGGGTCTCGGTGTGGGCCTGAACCAGGGCTCTGAGATTCTCCACGGCAGCGAGCAGGGGCTTGTTACTCTCGGCGGCAGTCTTGGCGATGGAATCGCCAAAGT